GTCAAAAACTAGGTCACAGGAGCTAAAAAAAGAAAAAGCTTGTTAACACTCTAGTGGCTTCAGTTTTGATCCAAATATTCTGGAAATTTGTCACAAAGATTTTTTTGATGATTTCTTGGTCAAGTCTGAATATGGGTCATCTCCGGTCAAAAACTAGGTCAAAGGTGCTAAAAATAGAAAAAGCTTGTATATACTCTAGTGGCTGCAGTTTTGATCCAAATATTTTGGAAATTTGTCAGGAATGTTGTTTTGATAATTTCAAGGTCGAGTTTGAAGATGGGTCATCTCTGGTCAAGAACAAGGTCACAGGAGCTAAAAATAGAAAAAGCTTGTTAACTCTCTAGTGGCTGCTGTTTTGATCCAAATGTTTTGGAAATTTGTTGATGACTTCTAGGGCAAGGATAAATATGGGTCATTTACAGTAAAAAACTAAGTCACAGGGCTAAAAATAGAAAAATCTTGTTAACACTCTAGTGGTTGCAGTTTTGATCCAGATTTCCTTGAAATTTGTCAGGAAGGTTGTTTTGATGATTTCTAGGTCAATTTTGAATACGTATCACCTGAGGTCTAAAACTAGGTCACACTGTCCAAATATGGAAAAACGTTAATACTCTTATGGTAACATTTTGACTAAATTCTCATTAAACTTGTTTAGGATGCTTGTTAATTGCTTGGAAGAGTTCGAATAATGGTATCCCTGATGAAAAACTAGGTCACAGGAGCTAAAGATAGAAATTCTTGTGAACTCTCTACTGTCTACTGTTGTTATCCAAATATCCTGGAAATTGTTCTGCAAGTTTGTTTTGATGATTTCTAGGTCAAGTTTGAATATGGGTCACCAAGGGTAAAAAGCTAAGTCACACTGCCCAAATACGGAAAAACTTTTTAACACGCTAGAAGTCACATTTTGACTCAATTGTCATCAAGAATGCTTGTCTAAGACATTGCTCGGATGTGGTTGTTGGGACAGGGGAGCGACCTAGGGCCATCATGTCCCTCTTGTTTATGTAATCTGAGTAATCTCAAAAGTACTGAAGGAAATGATTGAAACTTCACATAATTATTTGAGAGCATAATAGAAGGTCACTATCTAAGGCCCTTAACTGTAACATGGACTTTCACAAAATAATGGGCTTTTTGAACTTTAAACTTAGAAAATCATACATTATGATGGCTATTGTAAATTTCAAGAAGTACGAATAGTTTAGCATGGTGTCCTTTCCACAGCTGTAGAAATATTTAAAGAAATCTCCTTGCATATTTATAAAATGGCCATGGTGGTGACAAGATTAAAGAAATTACAAAGTTATAAGATAAAAATGATCAAATTTACATCCATTGAAAATTGTTTATCTATAATGATTGCGATGCTACCAAACATCCCTGACAAAAGCATTTCAATTTAATAAATAAAGTTCACAAAAGCCGTATCATCAAATTTACAGCTAGGACAAAAGCCCTCTTATAATTTTATGCTTCAAATTAAATGTAAAACTAGATGAAAGCCCTCCTATCAAATTTACAACAAGGACAAAGCCTTCCTCTTGAAATTAATAGAAAGAACATTACATTAGAACAAACTGCAAAAGACAGTCACTGCCACAACTGTTATAAGTAGTATAATTACCCCCCCCCCCCTTCAAAGAGGTGGGGTATATTGCTTTGCATTTGTCTGTCGGTCGGTCTGTGGGTCAGTCCGTAGGCAAAATGGTTTTCGATCAATAACTAAAGAACTCTTAGGCCTAGGAACTTCAAACTTGGTATGATGATTGTTCATGGTCAGTAGATGACCCCTTTTGACTTCAGGGTCGAGGTCAAGGCTCCATTGACCTTGTAGGTAAAAACGGTTTCTTATCACTACATAAAGAATGCTAAGGCCTAGGAACTTCAAACTTGATATGATGATTGTTCATGACCAGTAGATAACCCCTGATAATTTTGTGGTCAATGGGTCAAAGGTCAAGGCCACATTGTCCTTGTAGGTAAAAACGGTTTCCTATTAGTACATAAAGAATGCTAAGACCTAGGAACTTCAAACTTGGGATGATGATTGTTCATGACCAGTAGATGACCCCTATTGATTTTGTGGTCAATGGGTCTAAAGTCAAGGTCATATGGACCTTGTATGTAAAATCGCTGTCTGATCAATATCTTAATAACTCATTGGCCCTTTACCTTCAAACTTCACAGGTGCATCAGTCTTGGCCAGTAGATAATATCTATTGATTAAAGGGTCAAAGTTCAAGGTCACATTGACCATTTAAGAAAAGACGGTTTCCAACCAATAACTCGACAACTCAAGTTGCCTTAGTTGATATTTTTTATTAAACTAAAAAATGTTTTTGGTACACACATTTTAAGGTCTTATGTAATCATTAAGGAGGCCTACATAATTCATGAAATGTATGCATATATTATTAATTTTGGTAAGATTTGTGATGCACACAACCTTTACAGTCACACTTACCTAGTGACTAGTCATGACCAGCAGATAATTCCTATTGATGTTTTGGTCACTAGGTCAAAAGTCAGTCATAATAACCTAACCATGACCAATTGGCTGTATAGGGGGCATACATGTTTTATAAACATATCTTATTATACCACAAAAAACAAAGTTTGGGGTGGGGGGTATATTGGAGTCACCTGGTGGTCGTCGGTCGGTCGGTAGGTCCAGCGGTCCGTTGCATTTTCCTTGTCCGGAGGATAACTTGAAAACTAATGGTTGGAGTCAATATAACTTCATACAATGGTCAAGCACATTGAGAGAAAGTGCAGTGCACAAGAACCATAACTTCATCTTGACTTATTACAGAGTCATTGCCCTTTGTTACTTTTCCTTGTCCGGAGCATAACTTGAAAACTACTGGTTGGAATTCACAACAACTTTATACAATTGTCAAGCACAATAAGGGGAAGTGCAGTGCACAAGAACCATAACTCTATCTAAAGTAATTACAGAGTTATTGCCCTTTGTAACTTTTCCATTGCTTTCTTTTGTCCGGACCATAACTTGAAGAATTCAATATAATTTTATACAATGGTCAAGCACATTGAGAGGAAGTGCAGTGCACAAGAACCATAACTCTATCTTGACTAATTACAGAGTTATTGCCCTTTGTTACTTTTCCTTGTCCAGAGCATAACTTGAAAACGACTGCTTTGAATTCAAAACAACTTCATATAATTGTCAAGCACAATAAGCGGATGTGCAGTGCACAAGAACCATAACTCTATCTTGACTAATTACAGAGCTATTGCCCTTTGTTACTTTTCCATTGCTTTCTTTTGTCCAGAGATTAACTTGAAGACGATTGGTTGGAATTCAATACAACTTCATACAGTTGTCAAGCACATTAAGAAGAAGTGCAGTGCACAAGAACCATAACACCATTTTGACAAATTACAGAGTTATTGCCCTTTGAAACTTTTCCTTGTCTAGAGCATAACTTAAAACGTAATGGTTGGACTTCAAAACGACTTCATACAATGATCAAGCACAATAAGAGAAAGTGCAGTGCACGAAAACTAAAACTGTGTCCAGAGAAATTATAGAGTTATTGCCCTTTGTTACTTTTCCATTGCTTTTTTCTTGTCCAGAACATAACTTGAAAACTACAAGTTGGAATTCAATACTATTTCATACAATGGTCAAGTATGTGATAGGAGGCACCAGTGTACAGAAATCATAAACTCTTTCTTGACTCATTTTAAAAGTTTTTGCCCTTTGGTTACTTTTTATTGTCCAGTGCATAACTTGAAAATTAATGGTTGGAATTCAATGAAACTTTATACAATGGTCAAGGGCAGTGAGATGAAGTGCAGTGCAGAAGAAGCATAACTCTATTTTGACTAATTACAGTTATTGCCCTTAGTTACTTTTTTGTCCTGTGCATAACTTGAAAACTTGTAATTAGAATTCAATACAACTTCATACAATGGTCAAGTGCAATGAGAGGAAGTGCAGTGTACAATAACCATAACTCCATCTTCAGTATTTATAGAGTTATTGCCCTTTGTTACTTTTCCATTGCTTTTTTTCTTGTCCAGAACATAACTTGAAAACTACAAGTTGGAATTCAATACTATTTCATACAATGGTCAAGTATGTTGATAGGAGGCACAGTGTACAGAAATCATAACTCTTTCTTGACTCATTTAAAAGTTTTTTGCCCTTTGTTACTTTTTATTTGTCCAGTGCATAACTTGAAAATTAATGGTTGGAATTCAATGAAACTTATAGTCAATGGTTCAAGGGCAGTGAGACTGAAGATGCAGTGCAAGAAAAGAAGGCATAACTCTAATTTTGACTAATTACAGTTATTGCCCTTTGTTACTCTTTTTGTCCATGCTGCATAACTTGAAAATTGTAAATTAGAATTTCAATACAACTTCATTACAATTGGTCAAGTGCAATGAGAGGAAGTGCAGTTGTACAATAACCATAACTCCATCCTTACAGTATTTATAGAGTTATTGCCCTTGTTCCTTTTCCTTGTGCTTTCTGGAACACACTTATTGCAGAGTAATTCAATAAAACTTCATCAATGGCCACACCACATTGAAAGGAAATAGCAACATACAAGAACCACAACTACCTTTAATTGCCCACAACCATAACTGTATTTCAATTGTTTTACAAGGTTTTCTGTTACTAGTAACATCCTCATTTCCGAAGCAGTCTTGCAGGGGTATTAATCACATTTAGTGATAGTTCTAGTTTTATTAGTACAGTAAATCCCCTCAATTTAGACCATAATTTGGACTGGACTCAATTGTGTTCTTGCATACTTTATGACAATGCGGAATGGTGTATTTTAGTCATTTTGTATGAACACACAAAATGTATCTTAACCTTCGAATAAAATGTTAAGTATGTTACAATATTTAACTTGATAAGAGGTAAACATAATTCTGAATGAAATTTATATTAAATTCTCTTTGGTCTGATTTCAATATTAATTTGAATAATATCAGTGTTTATTTTCTACTTGCTTCAGTGTGTAGATGAACATCCTCACCCAGGTCCTGCTTCAGATAAACGTACTACTTCACCGAAAGAGAGACAACCTCAATATCCATGCACAAAATGTGAAAGAGGAGTTACCTCTCGCAGTAAAGCAGTAAACTGTGATCTTTGTCAACAGTGGACTCATATAAAATGTACCACCGGTATAACAGAAAAAGATTATGAATCACTATGTAGTGGTGAGACTTTACTTGCAATAAATGCTCATTTACTGAACTTCCATTTTCACAAGATGCTCCGAATTTTAATGGCTCGGAAATGTTGTTTACAACAAATTTAAATGGAACTCAAATTCCTTCTGAAATAAGTCAAGATCATTTCCAGTGTTTCTTTCAAAAAGGACTGCATTTTATTCATGTTATTGCAAGAGCCTTGCTTCCTAAAATATATCAGAACTCCGGCTAATCACAATAAAATCCAAAGCAGCTGTTATCTTAGTGTCAGAAAACTGGCTCGAATCTTCAGTACCTGACAGCGAAGAATGGAGGTGGAGTTTGTATGTTTGTACATGATGACCTGGCTTTCAATATAAGAACAGACTTATCATGGGATGGCGAAGAAATCTTATTCCTGGAACTAATCTTGCCAAGAAACAAGCCTATCATTGTTGGGATTGTCTACAGACCTCAAAAACATTCTAGTTTTTTAGATAGTTTTGAAAACATTTTCACTTATTTAAAATCAGATTGTGAAACTATTATTTTAGGTGATTTTAATATTTGTGTATTACATAAGTCTGGTTCTTTTTATAAGTCTTATTACAGTATTTTACGGCTTTTTTATTTAGAACAGATACTTTCAGAACCTACTAGAATTTGTAGTTCATCTATTAGTTTACTTGATCATATTCTATGTAATAACAAAGAAAAAATATCTCAGTCAGAAGTGTTCCTATTGGTCTGAGTGATCATATGCTTACTTTGTGCACAGGAAAAATTGCGAAAGTTCCAGCAAAATAGCATAATTATGTGAAAATCAGGTCTCTAAAATATTATGATAAAAAAGATTTTATTTCCAGATGAGCAAATGCTAACTGGAGTACTTATTTTTACTCTACTAATGTTAATACTGCATGGATTCTTTTAAAAATGTTTTGCTAGTGTTTTAGACTCTGTGACCCAAGTAAAGGAATTAAGACTTCGTGACTAGTCAGAGCCCTGGATTAACTCTGAAATACTAGATAGCACTAGATAGTATCAAGCAAAGAGATTCGTATTTATATAGATATAAAAAGTATGGTGAAAGAGAGGATTATAAGGCTTAAGTTAAGGGAATTCTGATTTCAAAAGGAATAAAGACGCCTAAGTCGGAATATCTTTCACAACAAAGAGAGGAAAAACAAATTTAATCCTAGCAAACATACTGGCCAAAGACTTAAAGATTTTGGGCATATAAAAATGACAAAAAGATAATCCAAATACTGATTATCAATTAATGTGAAAACTGTCATGACGCTGATAACTGTTTCGAAATATTTTAACGATTTTTTTACAAGTGTTGCTTCTAAACTTGTGAAGAAACTGCCTTCAAGTAAAAAGATGTATGATTAAGCGTCTGAAAAACTTTCTAAGTTTTATAGTTTTAAATCACAACATGTATGTGAGAATTTTGTTTTTTTAAGGAACTATGCAACCTGAATGTTTGTAAAAGCACATAATTAGATGGTGTTCCTTCCAGATTTTTGAAGGATGGTTCTAGTGTTTTGAAAATACCAATTACTTACATTGTTAATCTATCTTTTTCTGAAGATAAAGTATCTGATGAAATGAAGTTGGCTAAAGTAAAACCATTTTATAAAAAGAATAGTGTTCTTACTTACTTACTTTCTGAATCCTCTTCTCTCCTTGTGGTGCAAAAGGCATTCGCCACATCACGCCATTTGCTACGGTCAATGGGCTTAGCCTTGATTTCTCCCCATGACATTCTGGTTCTGCGAAGCTCATACAACGCCCAGGAGCCCCACTCGCCGTTACCTTAAGCATTCCAATCTAGGCTTGTCTGGCTATATTGGGCTGTGGTCTTCGCAGGGTGTGTCCAATCCATCTCCATTTCTTGTGCGGCTTAAAATGACTAAAAAGATCAAAAGAAAAGTCACACAAGTACCATTTTATAAGTACATCTGTCTGTCTGTCCGCTTTTCTGTTCTTCCACAAAACTGGGTCCCTTAAAATCGCAAAAAGACAGTTTCAAATGTATTACTGAAAATGTTTTATGAATTGTAAAATGTGGGTAGATGGCAGTCTGGAGATTTTGCCCGTCTTTTTATCTCACCTGAGCTGGCTCAGGTTGAGTTTTCAGGACTGTTGAATGTCTGTTTCAGGCGCACCCACATTAAGTTTGTTAACACTCTAGTGGTCATATTTTTGAAGTGTCATCAAACTTGGTCAGGATGTTTGTCTAAGTAATTGCTCGGCTCGAATCAAAAATTAGGTCACATAAGCTTAAAATAGATGTTAAAACTCTTTGGCTACTGTTTTGATCCAATTTTCCTTGAAATTTGGTCAGAAAAAATGTTTTGACGATTTTAGGTTAAGTTCCAATATGGGTCAGTGGGGGTCTAAAACTATTTCAAACAGCTCAAATACGTAAAAACCTTGGCTACTGTTCTGGTCCAAATATGCTGGAAATTGGTCAAAAAGGTTGTTATGATGAAATCTAGGTCAAATTCTAATATCACTTGGGGACAAAAACTAGATCACACATCCATAATATTAAACAACATCGTTAACACTCTAGCGGCTACTGTTTTGATCCAAATATCCTGGAAATTGTTCAAAAGGGTTATTTTCATGATTTCTTTGGAATCAAAAACTTGGTTAGATAGCTCAAATATGGAAAAAACTTTAATAACACTCTTGAGGCAATTGTTTTGTTCCAGATATCCTGTATATTGTTTAGAAAGGCTGTTTTGGTGAGTTCTTGGACAAGTTCGAATATGGGTCACCTGGTGTCAAAAACTAGGTCACACAGTCCAAATAGGGAAAAACCTTGTTAACACTCTAGAAGGTACTTCAAGTCCAAATATCCTGGAAATTGGGATCGAGCTTTCATAATCAGATGAGTGATATCATCAGGGCCCTCTTGTTTCATTTTAATACCAATATTGATAGAATTCATGATGGACTGTTACATAAATTGGAAGCTGGACAAGTCCATGCAAGAAATGTAGCTTTTTAAGGGCTTAACTTTGGAGAAATTAATGTATGTTGTTTTCTCGTCTACGGTTAGTATCTTCCCCATTACCCCTAGTTTTTATTTCTTTGATTAACCCCCCTTCCCCCGGTCTCCTGTCCCCTTCCCCTTTTTGGGCCTATTCTATCATTTATTTCTTTGAATTCCTAATCAGTTACAAATTATTTATCATTTAGTGATTAACCTGTCCGTGCTCTGTCTTGCCCTGTGCTGTTTTTGTTTGGGGTCCGCTTGGGCTCCTTGCCGCTGGTTCTTGTTGCTGGGTCATATGGGGGTCGCGTTTATTGAACGCCGCCTTTCTTTTTTGATCTTGTTTATCATATTTTGATATTATAGGCATTTAATGACAGCGTAAAAGGTGTATCAGTCCAAGAGAATACAGGAACGTCAGCATCAAATGAAGATAGGTTTGAGTTTAACATACCATCAGATATGTGTGGGAAATTTATTGGTAAAGGAGGTGAGAGGATTAAAATGATCAGGCAACAGTCTGGGGCGAAGATACATTTACAGTACAGTACTTCTACCCCAGAAGTTAAGACTTGTGTTATCGAAGGTATTTTCTTATTTCACATTTGTTATTAATTATTTCTGTTTTGATCAATGTACGCAAAAACTTTAATTTATAAGGCAGGAAGAATAGGAAATTATGCATAACTCAATAGTATATATAAAGGAGAAGAAGTCGGTTTGTAGAAAAAGTCTCTATTGATATGTTGGGAAAGTCTTTGAATTTTCCTCTTGATTTATCTAAACAGAGATCCAGGGATGCATTTTTTGATATTTTTCTACAATTGCCTCAAAAAACTCAGAAATCACATTTTATTGCGAAACCAAAAATGACTACATAAAATTCAAGAAAGAACATCTGATAATTTTTAATTTTAAATTACAACCTAGCAGATCTCTGTATAATGCTATAATTCTCCTTAAGCCGGTGCTAGGGGGCGAGACGGTAACTTGCACTTTCCAGTACCGTCCATGAACAGGCTGAATCACACCGAGCCTGCAACATTTACCATTTTGCCATGTTGGGCTTTCTTTAGGGATTCTGTTTTTTCTCTATTTTGTATGTATGTGTGTTCTATAGATTATATAGTGAGCTTAAAAGATCTTCTTGTGAAAAACCACAAGTCAAATTTCAACCAAACTTGGCAGGATTGATCGTTGGGTGAAGGGCTTCCAAAGTTCTTCCAAAGTTGTTAAAAGAATTTCATTCCATGCAGAAATCTGGTTGCCATGGCAACCAAAAGGAATGATTAGAATAAATTTTAAAAAATCTTCTTGTAAAGACCCAAAAGGCCTAGAACTTAGATATTTTGCATAAAACATTGTCTGGTAGACCTCTACCAAGATTGTTCAAATTATAGCCCTGGGGTCACAATTGGCCCCGCCCCGGGGGTCATTGATTTTTACTATATGTACATTTAGTAAAAACTTAAAATACCTTCTTTTCTGAAGGTACAAGGCTTAGAGGTTTGATATTTGGTATGTGATAACATCTATAGGTACTCTACCAAAGTTGTTCAAATTTTTTCCCTTGTGTCAAAATTGTCCCCTGCTTGAGGGAATTGATTGTCATTATGTACATATAGTGAAAACAGAAACTAAAACAAATGTTTTCTGAACTGGAGAAAGCTACAGCTTAGATATTTGACATGAAATGTTGTTTGGTGGACCTGTATCAAGATTGTTTTGAATTAAACCCTTGGGTCAAAATTTTGCCTCTTCAAGAGGACAGTGACCTACTTTCTTGTCTTTTGATGTACAGCAATGAAATTTGACCATGTGCACAGTTTTAGTTGTAAAATTGAACTTTGATATAAGGTGACCTAGATATTGACGATGTGACCTACTTTCTTGCCCTTTGATGAACAGCTATGAAATACCTTTGATCTTAGAAATGTTAATCTTTTAAATAAATAGAATAATTGTTGCATTGGAGATTTGCAGAGATTCTTGTTGATTTCTTGTCCGTTGAAGTCTGGTTAGAACTGTTCAAATGATTGAAACTATCATTATCATGTTGTTAGATATACACAGATAGCTCAGGAAAACAAACATATACCATTAGTTAATCTTGTTCTCTACTGGGCGTTTTTCTGCTAGAATATCATGTTATCTGCTCTTAAGGAAGATTGGTAAAAGTTTGTTTGTTTAATCTCACAATTTTAAAAGTTTTTACATTTTTGGAACTGAGGAAAATTGACAGTGAAAGAAATATACTTTAAGATTCTGAGAAAGCTTAAAGTGCATTGCTTGGATAAAAGGTCAACTGCAAGAAAGTGTGATTTGTGATAAGAATAAAAAAGTAAATTGGCATGTTCAAAAAGGGTCAGGGTGGTGAGGTGATGGGTGGGGTGGGGTTGTTGCAAATTACTGTAAACCATAAAAACATGAAAGTAATGCTAACATAAGCCACTAGGAAGTATTTATGATAGCAACAAGGTGAAAGATGTAAATACCAAAAAGTGTGAATGATAGATAGAAACTACTGTGACAGAAGTAAGTTCCAAAAAAGTGTGAAAGGTAGAGAGAAATGAAGTGAAAGAAGAAAGTACCAAAAAGCATGAACGATAGATAGAAAAAACTGTGACAGAAGTAAGTTCCAAAAAAAAGTGAAAGGTAGAGAGAAATGAAGTGAAAGCAGTAAGTACCAAAACGTGTAAATGATAGATAGAAACGAAAGAAATGAGTACCAAAAAGTGTGAAAGATAGATAGAAACAATGCGAAAGAAGTTACAGTAACAAAAATGTACTAAAGATAGATAGTAAGTAAGTTCAGAAGTAAGTTTCAAAAGAGTGAAAGATAGATAGAAATCACTGTGACACCAGAAAGTACCGAAAAAGTATGAAAGATAGATAAAAACAATGAGAAAGAAGTAAGTTCTAAAAAAGTGTGAAAGGTAGGGAGAAATGAGGTGCAAAAATTAATTACCAAAAGGTGTGAATGTTAGATAGAAACAATTTGAAAGAAGTAAATGCCAAAAAAGTATGAAAGATAGATAGAAACAACAATTACAGATGTAAGTTCCAAAAAAGGTGTGAAAGACAGATAGAAACAAGGTGACA